AAAAAAAATATAAACACAAGAAAAATAATAATTATAAATTAATTTGGAAAAAAATACTATAAGAAAGAAAAGAAAAAAATAAAAGAAAAGGTGAATATCTAAAAATGTGTAAATACACTATATAAAAATAAAAAGAAAAAAGGAAAAATAAAATTGCTTCATGTCCTTCAAAGAATCTCTACTAGAAACCTCTTCTCATTAGAAGTCAACCCTTCTGAGATATTCTTCTTTTTCCTGACTATCTGAGAAACTTATCTATCTATACTCTTAATTATTTTTTGTGACTGTCTGAGGTACTTATCACCTACTCAGATCTAATGTCTTGCTCAATGCTTCCTTTCTTTCAATCTTGATTTTGTATTTACATACGCAAAATAGAATAGCTAATGTTAAACCCTAGGTTCTTATGTGACTTTTCATTTTTGTTATGTAAATCCCAATATCTTCCAGCAGCTATATCTAGTTAAAGGAATTTTACTGGTGTATATTTTTTATTATCCAAAAAGTTAGTTTTCTTATAAATCTTTTTATCTTGTAATGATATAAAAGTTTTGATTGGTATCAAGGATTCTTATCAATTATGATATTATTATATAATATCTAGGAAATTGCATTCTCAATCCTAAAAAAGGGCAGTGTTTTACATTTCTCTGCTTTTCAGTTTTATAGCCTAACCAGAATAAGGAAATAATCTCTTTTACATACTTTGTCTAACTAGAATAATAAGAAGTTAAAGGTTTCAGTTTGAACAAATAATCACCTTTTCACTACCTAGGAAATTTAGGGCCCATCTTAATAGTCTTATGATTTCTTTGCTTCAATTACATTTCATTTGAAGGAGTGAAGGAGTTTGTATCAGTAATTACTCTTTTTTTCACCAATAACATCATCAAAACACATGATGTAACCAGTAGGAGCTTGTTTACATTCTGCTATCAATATGTTTCATGTCAACTAATCATCTTTAGCAAAAGCTATATCAATTTTGTATTATTTCAAAATTTAGGGTTAAGCTGAGATAGATAAAATTCTTCAAAAACTCTGAAAAATGAGTGACTATAAGAGGGTAGAAATAATGAAAAAGAAAGTTTTATGGTTTAGGCTTTTGTTCGCCTATCCATTCACTGCAGAAAATCTCTAGTTGCACTCTTGCTTCAGGAGATAGGCTTTTGATACTTCACTGTTAGTTTTTCTTTCTTTTAAAACTTTTTTGCCATGGGTAAAAAAGGTGTTTCTTGACTTTTCTTGATTATTAGAAGTCAAGTTTTTGTTTGAAAAAGAATATAAACAAGAGAGGAAAGTCGGAAGAAACTCTTGAAGTTATCCTTCAAGTTGTTTTAAGGAAAGTAATAAGACTTTATTAGCAAAAAAGTATAAAACTTTTTGCAAGTATCTTTTTTGTGTGTTTTCAAGGAATCAGCAGAAAGAGTTTTTAATTTGATAAAGAATTAAAAAAATTATTATTATTATTTATATATATAAATCTGATTTTTTAATAATAATCTTTATATTATTAATCTATATAATTCTTTTGATAATATAGTTTTATATATTATTATTTATTTTTTTTTTAAATCCTCTGTCAGGCTAGTTATGTGTGCTTTATTAAACAATTGTAAACTATACATTATAATATAAATCGCATCTTATAAAAATCTTGTTATTAATTTTTGTAATAATTTTTATTTATTTTATACAAAAAATTATATTATTGATATTAAGGTTATATTGAGAATATCTGAAGAAATAAATATTATTCTCAGTATTAAAGTATATATTGATTTTATATAGATCTGATTTTTTTAAGGTAAAGTTTATTTACTATGAATTCTCAACGCTTAATAATAAAGAATCTGATTATATAATCTTAGTTAAAATAATGGTTCAAGAAAAATTAATTAATCTTGTTATGGATTATCCACAAAAGGGATCTTTGCGTAAAAATCATTATTTCATAGTGCAAATAGAATGGAAAAAGAAGATAATTTTATTACCCTGTTTCTTTTGACAAGATAGTCTAAAATAATCGGTTTAACATTCCAGATTTAGATCTTTCCAGCAATACACTATAAATCGTGGGAAAATCGCCCATGAAATTTATTGGATAAGGACAATCAACTATGGAAGGTGCCAAGTTTAATTTTTATCAAAATAAACCACTATTTCGTTATATGGAATAATCAAATATATTTACAACTTATGATATTGCGCGTACACTGTATTAATAATATTAAAGTGTGGATATTTATTCTGAAATTTGCAACTAATTGAAAGTGATGGTTAAATTTACGGTGCTCCATTTTATTTGACGAATCGCATTTTAGCAATCCGTAGTATTGTATAATCCTATTCCTGAACAATCAATCTATGTCGTTAAATAAATAAGTTTTTCACAAATTCTCTAACGGAGGCACATTGCATTGCCGAGTTATTAAAGAGAATAGGTTTTAATCCTATTTCGACTGAGCATTATTAGAAGTCTTTCATAATTTCCTATAAGCAATCAACCCATTCGCCAACAATGGAAACGGAGTTATTATCTCCAGCCATAATTTTTTCATCCCCTAGCACCTTACCGACACATAGCCACGGGTCTCTTGACCCTCCCCATCTTAAAACTTCCTCGCGAAACTTTCCCCCAGCCTCCCTACTCAGCGGACCTTTCTCAAATGTGTTCTTCCATATCTTTCCAGCCAAAACCCTGCAGAAAAGATAACTATAATATGTGGCACCATAGCTATATAAATGCCCAAATTGTATTTGCCACGCAGTTCCAGGGACGGATGGATAAAGTCCCAAGGTGTCCTGGAGATTTGCTAAAATGGCCGTGGTGTCAAACGAGGAGGAACTTGCAAGATTGGAATGGTACAATTGATCCAAAAGAGCCATTAATATTTGATACTGAGTCTCCATCGCCGAGAACTGAGAGCGTGCATTACGATGTGAATATATAAGATCCAATGGAATTGGTTCACGAGTCTCGAAATGTTTTGCAAAAAGTGAAAGCACGCTGGGTGAATATACGAAATGCTCCATCAGTATTGATGGCAACTCTACAAAGTCCGTAGGACATCTTGTGCCTTAATCGGATTATTATAAGTTAACATCAATATCAATAATTAACATCCATCTGATCATTGACAGAATCAGATATTTGGTATCGAGAAATGTATTTACCCGATACGTTGTGGAAATCCGTACGTCCGATCATTGCTAAACAGGATGGAATTAATGGTATATCGATCTGAGTTCTGAAACAAAATTTGAATAAAAAATGAATGCATGGATGAACCAACTCACAATGCATCGCATGACCCATTTCATGAAACAGAGTCTCAACCTCAATCCAATTCAGTAAGGTAGGAATTTTTGCATTTTTTGGCTTCACAAAATCACACACGAGTACAACTACTGGCAACTGATAACGACCATCCTTCCCTTTTATTATTTCTCCTCGATCCGATGAAGCCAATTCTCCCAATTCTATCGGATCAATCTCAGATGGAATATCGTTTAACCCATCGTCGTCGTCGACGCGTCTTGAACATCTTACTGTGTAGTGTGCAGGATTTTGGTGTTTTCCAAAACGATTAAACAGATCACAATATATTACCCCAACTTTCCCTTCTTTTTCATCAATGACATCGAGCTTACGTACATCATCATGGCATACCTC